ATTGTGGGAGCCAAGGGGGAAGAGGGGAGCCCAGGCTGACCCCAGGTTTCAAGGTCATGGGCCTAGGTGAATGGAGGTGCTCTTCACAGAGAGGTGGAACCTCAGAGGAAAAAGATTCATGTGGAACATGTCAGCTTTGAGATGTCAAGTGGACTGCGGATTTCACAGGGCTGAGCCTCAGGAGAGGGCTTGGGGTTGCAGGTTCCAATGTGAGGCAGTTGCTGAAACTATAGGAGTGGCTGAAACTGCCCAGCAGGCATACAGGGAGGAGAACCAGGGCTTCCTCATCAGTCTCAGCTGTTTCCTTCCACCTGCAAAGCTGGGAGCATCAACTTGGAAGGGCCAAGGTCAGCACAAGCTTGCAGGCCTGGGAGCTTGGGAAAATGTGTCTGGCTTCACCTGGAGCCTGGCTGAAGGGCTATGGAGTCTCCAGCAGTTGAGCAACCTCAGCTGACTAGACCAGTGATGCCCAACAAGGTGGGTCAGGAGGGGAGCTCTGCAGGTTTCGCTTACACTGTGGGATCTGCAGAGAGCGGGCAGTCAGCGAGGCAGGGACGAACTCTCCTTTCTCATCTACACACCAGCAGTGCCCTGGAAAACAGCCAAGGGGAGGACATTCAGGAATCGCACTGGGGACTTGCCCCTGAGTGTCCCATAAACCACTTTCCTTCTGTGCACTCACAGCAGTGCAAGCCTGGTCCCCTGCTGTCCCCAGTCTACACCCCCAGTTGGACATTGTCCGTGATCACTCTGATGCCCCCAGCAACCACCCACTTGTCTTTCAGGCTGCTAGAAGATTCCTGCCCCTGTTATACAAGCGAGATAACTGGACGTCAGAGAAGCTAAGGAATTTGTCACCAGCTGCTAAAGAGGAGCCTAAGAGTCCAGCTCACTTGCCTCCCAGGGTGAGGTTCTGTCCTCTAAAATAAAAAACGGGGCTGTCACCTGGCCACCTTACCAGTCCCGGCGTAGCACTGCACCGGCTCCCAACTTCCGAACGCATCGCACTGTGGCACATAGGGGCCTGACCGCAGGCGGGCAGATGCTCCAGCAGAGTCGTCCAGAGAAAAGCGGCGACTCTGATAGAAGCTGAAGGCTGGAGTCAGGGAAGGAGAAAAATAGAATATATCCACCTGCCCTGTGTGGGCTCTGATGCTGAGAACAACCACATATGTCCTGGCTCCAACATAAGGAGGCCTTCTTATTTACTGATTTGACAAACATTTCAACCCGCAGTATTACAGAGGATCCTTGCACAGTGGAAAGGCACTCAACAGATTGTCCTTTAACATGTAATGTTAAAGGAATATTATGGTAGATCTCTATGATAACTTCCATAAAGAAATAATTAGGTTAGTAAAGTGTCTTGGCACATGAGGTAATAGTGATGACAGACAGGCTCTATACTCATGTCATGTGTGAGGCATTATCTAAATACATACCTTAATCAATTTAATCCTCACAGCAACCTAGAAGAAATGTCATGTTATCCTATATTTTTTTTTTTTTTGAGACGGAGTTTTGCTCTTGTTACCCAGGCTGGAGTGCAATGGTGCGATCTTGGCTCACCGCAACCTCCGCCTCCTGGGTTCAAGCAATTCTCCTGCCTCAGCCTCCCAAGTAGCTGGGAATACAGGTGTGTGCCACCATGCCCGGCTAATTTTTGTATTTTTAGTAGAGACAGGGTTTCACCATGTTGACCAGGATGGTCTCGATCTCTTGACCTCGTGATCCACCCGCCTTGGCCTCCCAAAGTGCTAGGATTATAGGCATGAGCCACCATGTTCGGCCCATGTTATCCTATTTAATGGATGAGAAAACTGAGACACAGATGGATTAAACAACTTAACCAAGGGCTTGCAGCCAGAAAGGGGAGGGGTTGGCCTTGGAACACAAGAGGGCAATCGATGTCAGCTGCCCTCGTAGGTTACCCTGCCAAACTCCTACAGTTTAGTTCTTTACCTGCTTTGAAAACTTGTTATCCACAAAATTGTATCAGATCTTCACAGAAGCTCTATGAAGTCAGAATTTTTACACCAGGTGAAGACACAGAGGCTCAGTGAGGGAGATCATATGATGAACCACTGGCCACCCCACTAATAAAACTGCACCCCATCCTCAGCTCTTGCAGTCCCTGTCCGACTGGGCTCTGCGCATGGCTTTCCCCACCACCAACATGGTACCTAGTGTACTCATTCATTGTATTAGATTCGTCTCTTCTGCCCTAACACTTAAGCTCTTTGGTGCAGTGATTTGTGTTTATTTTGCACATAGTGGAGTGTCTGGCTCATAGTAGGCACTCAAGAAATAACTGATTGGGAAAAAAGAGTGAATGAATGCATGACGGGGAGAGGAAGAAGCAAGGGTGGGCAGCAGGTGGGACACACAGCAGCCTGGTCCGGGTCTTACCAGGCCCAGTCTGATTTGCCCCAACCACTGCCCTCCTCCCAGGTGGCGGTGAACTGTCACCTGAGCTCTTTCTCCACTTCTGCTGGCATTTGGGGCAGATTGGGGTTCCTCACCAGGATCTGGGAGGGAGAACAGCTGCATCTGGGGTGGCATTGTGGGCAGTCACCTGCAGCCCATTGGGACAGTTCTCCCCAATCCCCACCTTTCAGAAACAGGCTTGCTGGCTCCAAACAGGAGAGCCTGCAGCTGTAGGATGCCACCAACTCACAGTCAGAGCCCATCTGGGGACAGCAGGGCCCACCTTTGAAGCAGCCCCTAAAGTGGACAGAGTTCTGAAGTCTGCTAGGCCTCCTGCTGCATCCCAGCGCTGCACCTCCTAACTGAGATTATGAGCAAGTTGCCCAACCTCTCTGGGCCTGTTTCCTCATCTGTGGAATGGGTCTAACACTCACCTAATAGGGCAAGTGTGATATTTACATCAAAGGAGCTGATAGTCATCAAGCACCAAGCTGCGTCCATTTATTCCTGTGGCCTCCACCACCCTCATTAGGCCCTCAGACATGGCTGCCACGTTCCAGTGGCCAAAGCACTTTTTTCCGAGCCCCCAATCGCCAGACTATCAGGGAAAAGACCAGGCCTGACCCCATATGGTCCCTTCCTCTTTTCTCTACAGGCTCAGACATGCAAAGCTGAGCATGTGGCTACTTGGAGAGGAACTCCTCAGCTCAACTTCTGAAGAAAACACCATCATGCCATTCAATGACTAATATTGACAGCACGAGTGACGTTCCCTCCCCTTCTCGACATTTTCCTCCCTGATCAAAGTGGTTACAACTGAAGGGGCATCAATCCCACTTCTCTCTTTGATTACCTCAAATTCTGTCTTTGTACAAACATGTAAAACAACAGGGTTCTTCTCAAAAGCAGAAGTCCCCATGTCTCTGAGGAACAGAGAAAAGCAGTGTCTGGGCACAGGGTGAGGGGAGGGGACGGAAGAGAGAAAGAAGGAAGGAAGGAAGCAACAAGGATGGTTAACCACCATCTGCTGAGCTCCTTGTAGGTGTCAGGCACTGAGCCACCCACCAGGGATACAGAAAGAATAAGACACAGTGCCTCGTCCTCCAAAAGAGATGTCTGGTGGGAGAGAGAAGCAGGAAACAAAGATGGCACTCGGGAGGCTCTCACGTGATATTAGGAGAACATAGATCACTGAGACCCAACCCCATGCTGGCAGTAGACACCCTGGAATGCCTGGAGTGGATGGGAAGGCAGGGAGATACCCTCCTGCTGGAGCGCTTCTCTTTGACTCGGGGCAGATGTTGCCAGGGGAGGACTGCTTTGCTGTTTGGTGACTCACACCTGGAAAGCTAGACAGGGAATCAGCTGAGACCACTTGAAAGGGATGGGGATCCTGAGGAAGATTCAAAGACAGATGAACCATTTGTCCTTGTCAAGTTGAAGTGGGGTCAGTGAGAAAACTTGGAAGGGACCTGCCCTCCTGCTAGAGCAGCTGTGAGGTCATGGAGGAAGAACAAGGGCTCTAGGATGAGGCAGAGCTAGGCACGGACCTCAGCCACACCTGGAATCAGGCCGGTGGGGAACAGGAGAGCTGAGACGATGAGCTGGAGGACCAGGTCTGCAGGCTTTCTGTCCAGGCCCGCTCGTTATCAGTTGGGTGAACTCAGGCAAGTTTCCCCATTTACAAAGAGTTGTGGATAGCGACTACACCATCATTCTCCTGTAGATGTTAGATTAAATGTGAAGATCTGACAATCTACTTAGCACAGTAAGTGCCTGCTCAAAGTTTAGAATATTGTTTAGCTGGCCAGGCACTGTGGCTCATACCTGTAATCCCAGCACTTTGGAAGGCCAAGGCAGGCGGATCCCTTGAAGTCAGGAGTTCAAGACCAGCCTGGCCAACATGGTGAAATCCCCCATCTCTACTAAAAATGCAAAAATTCGCTGGGTGTGGTGGTGCACACCTGTAGTCCCAGCTACTCGGGTGGTTGAGGTGGGAGGATTGCTTGAGTCCAGGAGTTTGAGGCTCTGCTGAGCTATGATTGTGTCACTGCACCCTAGCCTGGGCAACACAGCAAGACTCCATCTCAAAAAAAAAAAAAAAAAAAAAATAGAACGTTGTTTGGCTGTCATTATAGACCACAGGACTGAAGGCTCCCGGAGCTTATGCCTCTGTTACATGCAGGTAGTAGTTCATGCCTTTTGGAGTTACTCTCAGGATCAGATGAGATCAATGTGTCATAGTTCCTCAATAATGAGGGCTCCTCTCCCCTCCCGCTGTGAGATATTCCTGAATCCCTGGAAATGGAGGGAAGCTTTGGAGCAGGCCATGAGGGTTATATAAGCATTCAAGGGCTTGGGTCCCTCACATTTTAAAAAGAATACTTGGCTTTGTGGGAGCTGCAGGTGCAATCTGCAACCAGGCCTAGGGTAGATTCACTGGAGAATTAATTAGGGAGCATTTTAGAGATGCGTGCAGCATTCCAGCTTTGACTGGTGCCCCAAACCACTTTGCCTTTTTCCTTCCCAGGAACCCACCAGCCTCAGGAAGCAGAGCCACAAAGTCCTCAGGATCACTGAGGAGAGACAAAGTGAAGCTCCTGCTCTTCCAAAGGAATGCAGTGAGAAGGCTGAAGGGCACAGCACTCACTAGACTGAGCCGCCAGGCGAATGGCAGGATCACCCCCACGCAGAAACTGCTCCGAGAAAGCCTCCCGGGGCGGGAAGAGCGGAGGAAGGCCCAGGTCTTCATTGCTCAGCCGGATTCCCTTGGCCACCAGGAAACTCTCCCCCAGAGGGAACTGAGAACTGTTAGAAGCTGAGACAATCTCTTCCGTTTCCCTAATGAACTGCAGTACGCGGAGCTTCGCTTCCTCACAGGAGCCAGGACCTAGGGGAATAAAAGTATCACAGATGGACTCACTCACCAGGTGGAGCTCCCTCTGATTCCCAGGAGGCATGTGTGCCCTCACACACACACTTACACTCCACACACACCACACACACATATACACACACACTCACATATCTACACACCACCCCCACACCACACGCACACACATCACACACACATTCACACCACACATGCGACACACACATACACACTCACATATATACACACCACCCCCCACACCACACACCACACACATACACACACATACACACACACCACCCACACCACACACAATACATCACACACATACACACCACACACATACACATCACACACACATACATCACACACACACCACACACAGTACACATATACACACACATCCACACAAACCACACACATACATATACACACACATACACACCACACACACACCACACACATACACATACAGAAACATACATGCCACACATATACACACCACACACATACACATCACACACACACAGTACACACATACAGATCACATACACACCACACACATTCACACCCACCACACACAGGCATATACACACACACCACCCTCACGCACCACACATGCACACCACACACACACATACACACACCACACACACAGTACACAAATACAGATCACATACTGCACATATACATACACATCACACATATACATATACACATACACATATATACATACTACACACTATACATGTACACACCACACATACAAACCACATACATACACACCACACCCCTACCACACACACACCACACATGCACTTACACAAATACCACTCATGCACCTACACAAATACACACCACACACATACCCCACACACAAACACACACCACACATACACACACACCCTCCACACATCCACCACACAAATACACCCATACACACACAGACACATCACACACATCATACACACACACCATATACACATATATGCCACATACCACCCACACACATACACACCACATAGTACACACACACCACACACATATGCACATACCACACCCATAAATGCACACACCATACACACATATAGAAACACATCCTATAAACACACACCACACACATAAACACACACATCACACCACACACATACACACACTACACACTACACACACATGCACGTGTGCATTTTTTCCTCAGCTGTTTCCTTTGCAGCAGCTTTCTCCACAAGCTGGAATGTTCCTCGTTTTGCCTCCACACTCTCATTCAGTGACCATTTGTGGAGGGCGCACAGCACAAGATGAGTAATAACTAACACGTGCTCCGTGCTGCACATCATTCTACGCATATACACACAGACAGTCTAATCTCTGCAACAGCCCAATAACGTATTCTTATGTTACAGATGAGAAACTGAGGCATGGAGAAGTCATATAACTTAAATGAACTCCCAGCTAGCAAGTAGCTGATTCGGAATTTCAATCTAGACATTCTCACTCTCAGGATATGATCTTGACTAGCTGTCTCTAATGAAGGATGGACAGATGATGGATGGATGGATGGATGGATGGATGGTTGGATGGATGGATATCAAAAGTTGAAGGGAGGCTCTGTAGGTTAGTAGAGAGTTATTCCTGTGAAGAGGAAAGAGTGTGGTGCTCAAAGACCTTTGGGTTCAATTGTTGGGTCATTGATTAGTTGTACAACCATGGATAACACACTTAACTTCTCTGAGCTTCAGCCTCCTGATCTGTGCAATAAGAAAAATTGGAGCATCTACTCCATGGGCTTTTGTAATGAGCCTTCGGAGTGCTGCAGTTGAAGTGCTTGGCACAGCATCTGGCACATGCTATCCTTGGCATTGTCACTTAGTAAAATCCACCCTCACCATATTTACTTCAACCATCACATGGTGAATTCAACAGCGGAGGTGTCACTGGATTCTTTTGAGAGCATGGGATCAACAGAAAATTCTGACTTCTAGAATTTGAAGATATTGATTTCTTGTTCAAAAGGATGTTATCAAATAAATTATTCTATTAATCCTAGGGATTTTGAATCTCTGAAGCAAATCCTCACATTTAAAAACCTCTGCTTGCTCTCCATTTCTTTCAGGATAAAGTGAAAATCTATAACTGGGCACAGAAGATCTTGTAAAATCTGTCCCAAGCTGGGTGCAGTGACTCACGCCTGTAATCCTAGCACTTTGGGAGGCCGAAGCAGACAGGTAACTTCAGCCCAGGAGTTCAAGACCAGCCTGGGAAACATGGTAAAACCCCGTCTCTACAAGAAACGCAAAAATTAGCCAGGCATGATGGTACATGACTGTAGTTCTTGCTACTTGGGAGGCTGAGATGGAAGGATCACTTGAGCCTGGGAAGTCAAGGTTGCAGTGAACTGAGATTGTACCACTGCACTCCAACACAGGCAACAGAGCAAGACTCTGTCTCAACAAAGTAACAATCTGTCCTCAACTTATTTCCACCTCTTGTTCTTTCGTTCCCTCCTGTGCCCTCTCCCCTCCTACATCAATAACCTTTATTCCCCCTCACCCATGGCATTCACTCTGTGCATGCTATTTCTTCTGTCACAAAGGACCTGCCACATCTTGAGTGGACAAATACCTCTTAAGATTCATCCCTGTAGCTGGGGTCAAGCCAATCTTTACCCAATCTTCAATGAGTTAGTACCCCCTTTCTCTGAGCACTCTCTACCGCATTTTCTGTGTGCACATCTCTGTTCCATCATTGCCATTTATTACATTCCTGATAACATCTTTGATTTCCCCACTGGTCTCCGAGCTTCTCAGGACAGACATCATCCTTCACGTGACAGTCTCCCCATCATACAGTACAGTGCACACAGTAGGCAGTTCATAAATGCATATTAAATGAAGAAAGCAAAATTTCAAACAGGCCAGAGATAGCAATGCAGACTCAAACTCCTAGAGGCCTGAGTCCTCACCTGAGCATGCATGTAGGAAGTTATCGGTCCCTTCATCCCTCACTATCAATTGTATTAATCCAGCTATCACTTAATAAGTACTCCCTACGTGCCACTTTACATCTATTACCTTTTGCAATTCTTCCAACAAGCCTTTGAGGCAGTTATGTATTGGAACTCCATCAGATTTTACAGATGACACTAAGACTCAAAAGTGTTAGCCTCTCTCAGGTCATGGAGCAGTAAATGGTAGAACCACAGTAGAAGGCAACTACTGTTCTGTCCCCCAGGCCAGTCCTCCTCAAGCTTTTGGCTGCATTCAATTCCCCTGGGAATATTGTAGAGATGCAAGTTTTGATTCAATAGGTGGGGTCTGAGATCCTGAATCTTTAATGAGATTCCAAGGTGAATGCCAGTGCTGCTGGATCCCTTTCAATAGCATACCCTTACCAACAAAAGAGTTTGAATATGCAACCTCTTCCCCCGCCCCCAAAATGGGTATTTCTTTATAAGGTATATACATATACTACTAAAATAATATACTACATGTGGATTTTTAACTGTTTCAGCTGTTAATATTTAATTACAAAAATGAAAATATTAATAGAAACATCAAAGGAAGGCAGAAAATACTGAAGAGAGAAGGAAGTTCTAACATTTTCTCCCTAATGGATGATCTTGTACCCAGTCTTCTGTTACTCAATGAAAAAAGTCTAGTTCTAACATTCTACCCAGCATCCAGACTAAAGTAAGATAGTCACTAAAGTAATCCCAGCACTTTGGGAGGCCGAGTCAGACAGATCACCTGAGGTCAGGAGTTCAAGACTAGCCTGGCCAACATGGTGAAACCGCTGCCTCCACTAAAAATACAAAAAATTAGCTGGATGTGGTGGCAGGGGCCTGTAGTCCCCATTATTTAGGAGGCTGAGGCAGGAGAATCGCTTCGACCTGGGAGGCAGTGGTTTCAGTGAGCAGAAATCACGCCATTGCACTCCAGCCTGGGCAACAAGAGCGAAACTCCACCTCAAAATAAAATAAAGTTACTAGGTACTTTTGATTATCAACAACCAAGGCTCCTAAAATTGCATACAAATAGGAGCAAATTTAATCTTAGATAATTTAAAATTATGGGACTGTCCCCATGTAAGAGACCCAAGTACTGGTATGGAGTATGACTCTACAAATACCACAAAAATAAATAAGACTTCTTATTTAACAGTCAGGCCAAGATCAAGGTGCTAATCTTGAGGGTTGCATTGCTAGAACTTGACATTTGAATGGAGAGTGCTTGCACTGCCATCTCTAAGATGTTCAAAATGCCAAGGGTATTACTGTTCTCCTCACTTTCACCCGACATTCTAAAACTCTGTTGTCACCGAAGCCTAAACTTTGGCTAATATCAAAATAGCTTAATGGATTTTAACGCTATTGAGAAAGGTCCAGACAATGTTTAACATTGCAGAGAATGGATTGAGAGCTTTCTTAGAATGGCTATCATCTCACCTATATTAGCAATGGCTGGTTAGAGGTATTCTGATTTGGTAATAACAGAGTTCAACCTGTCTGGTTCTTCTATCAAGCTGCTGGCGTGGCTATGGAGATAAGGCATTTTAACTGAAACTCGGTGTCAGCTTCATTCTGTTTATGGCTCAACTTTCCCATAAATTGACCTGCCACGGAGCTGAACGTATAGATCTCAGTTAACAGCTCTCCAATCAGTCCCTTAGTTAAATCCTTCCAAATCAGTTAAACCCACTTCAGGTGGCACTCTCCTGAGGTCTCCGCATGTAGCAGCATTCTATGCAAGTAGCAGGATCACTGTAATACTCAATGGTCAATTAAAAGGTGCACCTAACATAGGAGAGATTACTAAACATTAACCATAGAGGGATAAGGGCCAGGTCATCTCCACATTTACAGCATTCATCAGCTCTAAGATGAAGATGCTTTGCACACAGAAGACATCCAGTAAAAATCTAAGACACTGATTTAAGTAATCAATTATATGAAAGTTTTAAAATATACTGCATCAATCTTGCCAACGCCTGACTGTGAGGATGCAGGGAAGTCCCTTCCCTCTGTGAGCCTTGGTTTTCTCAGCCATCTCTAAACTCCAGTCCAGCTTTGACATTTAATACCCTCCCACTAGACATCCTTTTTTAAAAAAAAAATTAAACACACACACACACACACACACACACATTCAGCATTTCATATGTGTTAGCTCACATATTGGGAGCTTGCTTGGCTCAGTTAGCGTTCCTTCCAGCTTTTGGCCAGCCTCATCCACACACCAGCAGTTCCGAAGGTCGAAGTGTGCAAGAGGAGTGCTGAAGTCTGAGTAGGGTCCCGGGTATCGGCTGAGTTGGCCATTTAGGATCTGCCAGAAAAGGTAGGGCTCCAGGAGGACATTCTCCCTGGGCTGGGGCCAGTTCCCTTCCAGTGCTGCGAGTGGGACATCTTGCAGAGAAGGGTATTGTGACAGCACCGGAAAGACACCTTGCTCGCCAGCCTCATACAGACTTTGAATAAAGAGACTGAAGTTTCCAGAAGCTGCTTCTCTGTAGTTCATGATCTTCACTAGCAACTCGGCAGGCGTCAGCTCCTGGCCCTTGTTCTGAGCCTCCCATTGTTGGTACCACTGGAAGACCTGCTCGGGGGGCCCATCGCATTGCACTCGTCTCCACCACCCGTCAGCACGGCACTGTGGGATGTAGGTGTCGGGAAGGGTGGGTAGCGTGCTGGAGTTAGAGAGTAGGGCCTGCACCGTCCGGAGGAAAGCTTGCTCAGCCTGTAATTGACAAGGTGTGGGGCCTGGGGAGAAACGATGAGCAGGTGTTTCAGTTTAAGAAACTTAATAAGCTGGAAAGACCAAGATAAAACCACTTAATTGTCCAAACTCCATCTAAACCCCTATGTAGCCATAGAAATCCCATGAAGCTTAAATATGCAAATAACATCTACATAGGCATTGTCCCATGACTAAATCAGCACCGTTGACATCAGTTGGTGATCAGCACTGCAGAAATGTGTGCGGCAGTTCTTTAAGGCCAAACAAATCTCCCTATTTACTCCTGGGTTTGATGAACATTACCTAGGCATTCCTGAATAATTTTTAAGATAAGCAGTCAATTTTGTCCTTAACTGAAGTGTAGGCATTGGCCAGGATTGGATTTCTATGACTGTACTGGATTGGGCCAGGGCCTAAAGAGAGACTCGGGGAATCTACAGATTGAATACCCAACAGACTTACATTTCTTGGGCTTCCCCATGGCACTTTGAGTTCCAGGAATAGCCTGACCTTCAGCGTCAACACAGTAGCATTCTGCTTTGAAGCACTGGACAGGCAGGAAATGTCCCTCACTAGTACAAGCAGGGACAAATAGGCTGGAGCCAGCAGGCTGGCTGTCCATGAGGCTTTGCATGCGAGCCCTTTGCTTTTCACAGTCTGTGGGGCACCTCGGTTGTCCACCTCTGACTCTTGAGCCTGGAAGCTCTTTGCCCCAGGAATCCACACACCAGCACTCTCCTGCGAAGCACTGGACAGCCTCATAGCTTCCTTCTGCCATGCATGATGGGACAAATAGCCTTTCAGGTATCTGCTCACAGGTCTGGGAGCTGAGCACTATTTCCATCACCTCACCTAAATCTCTTGCCACATCTTCTGGCACAGAGACAGCGTGCTGCAAGAAGAGAAGGAATTCTGGAAGCTCCAGGAGAGAAGCAAGGAATTTGAGGGCATTTTGGTTCTCTTGTAGGTTAATTTCAAAGCCAAAGCTGCCCACAGTTGGCTTATTCATAGCAACATCCTTCTTAGAGGCTTCAGGAGTTTCTGTAGAAGTATTTGAACCTAATCCCACAGAGAGTGGCTTGGACAAATCTTCTAGTCTCCCTCCATTTGAGAAGCTTGCAAGACCAAGTTGCTGGAAAAACTGACTGAAGTTAAATGTGCCTCTTGTGCCAAGGGCTCCAGACAAGTTAAACTGGCCAACATTCACCAAAAATTTCCCTCCAAAAAGGTTTTGCTGGAGTCTCTTTGGGTTGGTGGTAAACTGAAGAGCAAGACGAGCCAGTTCTCGGGAGGGAAAAATCGCACGGATGGCTTCTTTGAGGAGACTTTCTGAGACAGAAAACTGTTGGCTCTGTCCCTCCACCATTGGGCGGAGGAGCCCAGAGTCCACAAAGAGCTCCTTGATCGTAGGTGGGCAGGGTGTGGCAAATCTGGCTACTCTCGGAGAGGCCAGTCCATCCTCCCGGGAGGAAAACAGGTCGTGCTGGCTGAAGTAGCCTGAGGTCCCAAAGTAGAGTCTGGACAAGGCCTGCTGTCTTTTGGAGACACAAGATTGGCCTTCAGCTGCAGGAGACAAAGTGAAATAGGAGAAAAGTTTTTAACGTCACAAGCAATCCTGAGACAGCCCCTCAGATCTTTCAGGTAGGAAGATGCCGGAACATCCCATCAAAGACACCTGCGTTTTCAAACCACTTTCTTCTCTGTGTCCTTCTATTTTTTTCCTTTCCACTGAACTGCCTCTGTGGGGCCATTTTGGGGGAGTGACTGTTCCAGTTGGCATGACCACACCCACAGCTCTCACTAGAGGCTGATCCCTTCTAAGGCAAGTCTCGTAAATACTGGCCCACTTTCTGAAAATCTGACCTCATTTGCCAAGTGAACTCAGGTGAATGTTGTCCCCCTCACCCACAGACATGACATTCACATTTACAGGCACCTCAGAATGTGATTTAGAAATAGGGTCTTTGCAGATGTCACCAAGTTAAGATGATACCGGATTAGAGTGGGCTCTAAATGCAGTGACTGGTGTCCTTATAAGAAGGGCATGTGAAGACACAAAGATGCACACAGGGAAGAAGACTGTGTGAAGATGGAGGAACAGATTGGAGGGAGGCAGCCACAAGCCAAGGACACCAGGGATTGCCAGCAACCACCGGAAAGTAGGAAGGGGCAAGGAAGAATTCTGCCTTAGAACCTTCAGAGAGAGCATGGCCCTGACCACACCTTGATTTCAGACTTCTGGCCTCCAGAACTATGAGAGAACAAATTTCTGTTGTTTTAAACCACCTGATTTGCGGTGATTTGTTGTGGCATCCTGTCCTTGGAATTCTCAATAGACTTTAATGCTTCACTAAGTGCTTTTAATGTGGCTAATTCCTCTTTGGGGGTAGTCTTGTCTAGGCTAGCTATGGTCTCTTTGAGGGCAAGAACCATAACTGAAATGCTGTTAATGGCTCCTATAATAAGAAATGTTTTCCCACATTGCAATATATAACATAGGAAATATAATACTTCCTATAATATAAAACAATAATGCCCACCCAGCGTACACACATAGAACATTCTTCTGGGCTCCTTGACCTTTCCTAGAAATTACTAATTTAACAGTGATCAACTCAGCCAACTCTTTGCATGACCAAATCACTCTATCTGAACATCCTAGGCTGACTCTACCCAGATTAAGAGAAAAAAATATATAAAATTCAAACACCAAGTGGCTGTCTCAGTCACATAGGTGGATATAATAAGTAAGCTCCACTTTTCTCCATAAAATCATAACTCTGAGAAGACCTTTTAACCACCTGCCCCACCCCCAACTTTTAAAATAATTTTTTCCTCTTGATTCACACAAATGCCAAGAAGAAAGTCACCCAATTTCCTTCTGTAACCAGGCAACGGAGAAAGAACTGGAAAATGTGGTGCAAGTGGGGAGAGACTGGCAGCATCGGAGCACATAACATCCCTCAGAGAGGCCACGCCTCTTTTAATGGATATTACAGGAAGGTATGGCAGAAATTAAGTTTACTGCCTTGCTTACTCTTCCTCCAAATTAAGAGGTTACCCCTTCCAGTCATTTGTTATGTAGTGTTACCAAAGCGAGGAAATTCAATTACTGTTTCTATGTGGCATTTTTTTTCCTCAGAAAAGGACCTGATACACCAGAAAGAAAAAATGAAAATATACGATCCATCTATGCATTTGATAGAGCCATTTCTGGACTTTAATTTGGCAAATCATAGTTCTTCCTTTCCACCTGGAAGTTGGAGGGCATACCATTCTCTAGGTTTTAGTAGAAATGAAATGTGATTGCAAATACCTTCAAGAAAGTATCTCCAAATTTTCTTTTTTGACATTCTCACACTTAGCAGATAGAATATGACCACACGCCGTCCAGAATATTCAAAAGGTTAAGTTGGAGAAATGGAATGATTTAACGGGAATTATTGAACGAATGCTAACATACATATTGATGCTATAAAAACCCTGCATTGGTGTATCACAATTCCAAATCTTTTAAAATCTATCCAGCTTCCCCAAGCTGGAAGCCTAGGAGTGCTCTTGGTTCTTCCCTTCCTCGTGGTAACATCCTTCAAAATTTCACTGGGAAGAGAAAATTGGGTCTTCACTGGAATGCCTAATAAGAGTTCTCACTGTCTCCCACTGTTTCTGCTTTAGTTTTGATTCCCATACTTGGTTGAATAGTGTCCCTCAAATTCATGCTCTTCCCAGAATTACAGAACACGACCTTATTTAGCAGAAGGGTCATTGTAGATGGGATTACTGTAGTTAAGATGATGGCTGACTGGATCAGGTGGAGCCTTAACCCAACATGACTGGGTCTCCTTATAAGAAGAGAAAATGCACAGACAGACAGAGGGAAGACGGCCATGTGGTAATGGAGGCAAAGACTGCAGTCATGCTGCCCCAAACCAAAGAAAGCACAGATTGCGGGCAGCCACCAAAACCTAGGAAGAGGCAAGAAAAAGGATCCTCCCCTAGAGCTTTCAGAGGGAGCACGGCCCCACTGACACTCTGATTTTCAGTTTCCAGCCTCCAGAACAGAGACAATACATTTCAGTTGTTCTCAGATGTTCACTTTGTGGTGATTTATTACCATAGCCCTAGAAAGCTAATATAGACCTCATCATCTCTGTTTGGAACATGGCAATGACCTTCTAATTAGCCCCACTGCCTCTGGAGGACTGCTCCTTTGAGTCTCTCCTCCAGAATTTCTTTGTCTTACACGCAAAACCCACGATGACACTGTCCAACTTAAAACCTTTCACTGTCGTCACCTGACCTCCGGTTAAGACCCCAAGCCTTTGTTAGGATAACAAAGACCTCATTGTCTTACCCCTGCCTTTCTCCAGAGTCCGGAGCACCACCCTGTTCATACTCCAAAGATTTTTTTCTCTACCCTACTTGCAGATTAGATGATCATGAGCATTTCAAAGTCTGTTATTCTGTCCTTCCAATTCCGCTTCTTCTGTTCTCTATACAGAGAACACCTCTCCTTACTCCCCTCCTTCAGGAAACACCTTGGAAGATTCTGATTAAGTGTAGCCTCTTCCATGCAGCCTTCCTAAATGCCTCTCTCCCATACCTGCTGCAAGATGGAATGCCCACCCCACCTTGCTCCTGTAGCTACGTGCATGCTCCTGTCTCATGGCACATTTATTTTTCTTCACCTGTGAGCCTCCTAATATTCCCTGAGCTCCCTGAAAAAGCAACCAGGTCTGAGAGAAGATGAGAAACATGTGGGAAGTGAATGATGGTAACCTGGTTTTCAGTCAGGTTGAGCTTGAAGGGCCAGTGGGGCACACCAGAAGGCAGTTGAATTAATGGGGTCCAGAGAAGTTGGTCTGGAGAACAGCTAAAGTAACATGATCCGAGGAGCCCACAAGAAGCCCCCAGAGGAAACCCACCACAAGATGGCGGCTCCCCGTGCTGCCGGGTTCCGTGGATTTCCTTCCCCCGGGCGTCCGCACACCAGCAGGGCCCTTCCGTCTGGCACTGCACCGCCTGATAGTCTCCATTTCGGCGGCAGCTTGGAACGTAGGCGTGACCAAAGCTGGTTGCTGTAAACCGCTCCACTTCACATTTCGTGGGGCCTAGGAGAAATCCACGCGGTAAAGGAGGAGACAGTGTCAGCGGCGCGAGGTGTCTTCCCAGCATGCACTGCCGCCTGCTGTCAGGGCTCTTCTCATCTCTGCCCTCACGTTGGTGGAACAGCCACGCGGACCGCAGCGACGTTGAAACCCAAAGGGCGCCCCCTAGTGGAAACACGCACATTGCGGGCAGCTTATGACTTACATCGGAATCTGCCAGAGATGACGGACTGAACCGCGAGGAACCGTCTCTGCAGGATCCGGTACAGGGTGGTTTCGGTGAAGGTGGAAGCAAGGTCCAGGCCAGCGAAAATGGTGTCATAAATTTCATCCAGTAACAACTCCAAACCTGAACAAAGACAGCGAGACTTTCAGGGACGGTCTCATTCGGAAAGGAAGCCCTGACCTTGCTGTGCAAACATAGTGAGAGAGAGCCTTCACCAGCATCATTAGGCAATCAGTCTGAACGACACTTTAACAGTTTCCAAAGTCAGGCCTGCTGTGGGTGGTTGTGCAGGTTGTTCACAGAACAAGGGAGCAGTGCCTACAGAATGAGAGATTCAATCCACCCTGTGTTCCACTCGCCAGTTTTGGAGCTGCGTCTGCCCAGAGCAGGGCACTTCTTTCCAGTGTGCACAAAGGCACTGTGTGGGCCAGCAGCAGCCTCATTCACCATGCTGCAGATGACAGTTTGCTAAGGCTGTGTCCTCCTCCATGCCCACAGCAGCCTGTCACTCTAGCTGTGCTTTACGAGCAATGCTATGCAGGCTCTCACACCTGAGGAATCACACTCCCTCCCTTCGGATGGCCTAAGGGGTGTCACTCACCTGTCTCAGCCAGTTCCCGCCCTTGGCTGTCAGCACAATAGCAATACCCAGATACCTCAGGGAACCTGCTCTGGAAGGAACTGAAGGTCACAAATGCATCTGGAAACCTTGGAGACAATGAGAATTATGGTCACCATTTCATAAAGGCAAGTCATCACAAGCTCTTCCTGTAGAAATAAACGTGGCCAAGCCCACACCTAGTGAAAAGGCATGTCTACTTTCTTATCTCATGACAGTTGCTTCGTGCTTCCTGCAGTAAAGGCATTTTCTTTACAAATTAGTTTAACCTGACTGGAACCCGGCTGGACCTTGTAAAATAAAGTTGTGCATAGCTGCCATCTGCTAATTAGCCGTTTTCCTCACTTACGGCCTTTGACCAATTTATGCCCATGCGTTTGTCTCATTGGGCCAGGTGAAAACCGTCAAGGAAGATCCCATTAACTGGTTCCTTTCCTGGAATACAACTCTCAAGACTAAAAGCCAAGTCTGCTTTACAAACATATGGCACATTGGAGATGATCTCATTTTGGGAGATCAAATGACTCCAGGCCCCTTTACAACTTTTCAAGAGCTTGAAAAGAAGCCAGCTCCCACCACAGGAAATCCTTAAGAAGGAAATTTATCCAGTCCCATAGCTGAAAAAAAACACAAATCAGTACAGCATCACTAACAAGGGCGTCCATCTCTTTCTGTAAATTGAGGAAAGAGATTTCCTAATCATGTCTGGCCTGGCAGTTGTCCTAAGGAGCTCATCAGCTGGGTTCCCTGTCTTTGAAGTAATAGAAAGGCAAAGCATCAAAAGCCATATTGAGGAGTTCTGCCCCTATGCAATGATTTAGCGGCCAGAGAGAAACCGTTCATCTTTTATAACATTTAGAGATTTGTTTTCATGCCTATATAACTATATAACTAGTATATGAGGTCCAAGCATTATGTGTTTCTACCCATGTCTGGAAATCTATCTCCAAACAATAAATTACTAGAAAAGGCAAGTCTGGACATTGATAAGTCAATTGCTGTGCAACCTATTCTAGCAAAATACTGAAAACAATCTTAATGTCCAATAACAGAAAATTAAAAAGTAAATTATAGTAAATCCCCTAAGTATAATAAAATGCTATGATCAAGGACAATGCTTATAAACTCTAGCCAAAAGGGAGTGTGTATAACATTATGTAAAAAGGTTAGACTATAAAATGCCATACACATGTATTACAATTACAGCTGTATAACTGAACCAGTATTAGAAGGCAATGTATGGTGTAGTCATTGCTCAGAGTCTGGCTTTGAATTTCCATTCAAGTTACTGACTATTCGTTAATTTGAATGGAAGTTAATATGCAAAACAAAAGCTATAAATGCACTATGGGATGATGGATACTTTTTTTCATGCTGTCAATCTATTATTCTGTGTATGGATGTTAAACAGAATGTTACAGTAAGTGTGTGGCATAACAAAAATTAAAACCTCACTTTGCTTAGTTGCCACTGATAGGGAGATGGGGGTACATAATAAAAGTTCATTCATTAGAGCCTAGGATAATGCAATTTTAAAAATGCTAATAATAGTATAATAATAACTTTCATTTATTGAGCACTACTTTATAAAAGACTATCTGCAAAATGTTTTTTTGTCTGTTTGTCTTTTGTTTTGAGATGGAGTTTTGCTCTTGTCACCCAGGCTAGAGTGCAATGGCCCGATCTCAGCTCACTACAAACTGCCTCCCAGGTTCAAGTGATTCTCCTGCCTCAGCCTCCCAAGTAGCTGGAATTACAGGTGTGCGCCACCATGCTCAGCTAATCAGGGTTTCTCTGTGTTCGTTAGGCTGGCCTCAAACTCCCAACCTCACGTGATCTGCCCTCCTCGGCCTCCCAAACTGCTGGGATTTATAGGTGTGAGCCACCGTACCCATCCCTTGCAAAATGTTTTAATACATGTTGATTCATTTAATCCATCTAACAGTCCTAAAAGGAAAGTGATATATTTTAATCCTCCTTTTAGGGATTAAGAAGGTAAGGCATATAGGCCACTATCTTGAACTAGTGGTAAGAACTGGGGTTCAAACCCTGGTCTTGCCCAGCACACACTGTCTATCTCTGCCACTGGTGTTATTCATTGTGCTTTTGGCTGCACCTGGCTTCTGTCCTATGCCCTACCCTGCAAGGCACGTGACTCTGTCTGACACTGCTCCATATGCCCAGCACCTTGCTCTTCCTGACGTCTCATAGATGTTGATGACGTGAGTGCTGGCCCGAGGTAGTTTCTGAAACACGTTCCAGCATGAGGCACAAGTTTAAATCCTCTAGTTCTATGCTCGGTCAATTAAATCCACTTCAACGTCCTGGCTCATGGTAGACATGAGCTCCGAGCTCTTTGAGCCAGCTTCATCCCACCTCTTTATGTTCAGATCCCCTCTCTGGGGGTTTCTGGTCTCATCAACTGCCCAGTACCTGGCCTACCAGTGCTTTCTGCATGGACCTCACTCTTGATATTCCTGCTCCTTGCATATTGAAGATCACCCTGGCTTCAGCTCCTGAGAGGGTCCTCTCACTCTCCCAGTAAGGCCACCCGAAGGCCAGCTACTGCCATCTGAACTCTCTAGGGCTGTTCCCGTATGACCTTTAGGACAGACACCCTGTGCTGCCATCTTTAATCCCTTCTTGCCAATTCCGTATGTAGTGAGAAGAGCTAATATGATTGTTGCTATTAATTACTAGTCATAAAATAATCACAGGTGATATGTATGAACAATCAGACCAAGCACTCTCTATATTTTGTGTCATTTAATTCTCACAACAACCCTTTTAAAACCTCCATTTCGCAAATGAGAAAACTGGGATTCTGAGTGGTGATGTGACTGTGTCAAGATCATCTAGCCAAGACCGTGGGGCCAGAATCCCAAGTTCATTTCCAGTGCACTCCGACAATACCAGGCGGCCAAAGGGTAAGACCACCACTCCAGTAGAGCACAGTCCTTTGGGGGCCCTGTCCTGAAATCACTAGTGATTTTGGGCTCTGAATCTTCCCAATTTCCCATGTGCCCACAATTCCATTTGATACGATTTGATGTCTGTGCCTAATTTCTGAAACAATATCACCGTCTGTGAACTTCTGGCTCCTCCTCCAAAATAATAGGTAGCACCATGAAGATTGTTTAGCTGTTGCTTCTGCGCCTGTCATGAGCGATTTACTGTCATCAGGAAACAAGGGCTCTGTCATGCCTTCAACCTCCTCCTTATTAGATCTCCTGCCCCACATCACCCAACAGAAGTCAAACTACTGAGACTGAACCCAAAGCCCCAGTGAAAGCTGGACAATCTGGCTCCATTCCTAGCCTTGAGCCAGCTGAGCCAAAGAATGCTCCCAAAAGAGGTGTTTGAGTGGGATTCTAAAGCCACAATGGCGATTTGACCAGGAGACAACAGAGGAGTGAAGAACATATCTAGAAGGGTCATTTACATGCCTCCAACTTCGAGGTAGGAGACGAGACCACAGATGTGGGCAGCAAGGGAAACTGAGAAATTGGTAGTCACCAAGGGAGGTACAAGTCTGGCAGAGACGGCCAGGGCCCAAGCTTCGCAGCCTCCTATATACGGGAGCTGAAGACATTTTTTACAGGCACCAGCCTTTGGAAACCACTGGTCCTTTAGCAGCAGGACTGCAAGTCCTGTGTCCCCTGTGGCATACGGTGTTCTCCGTAAGGACCCGAGGAACGAAGTTCCCTCCATCCTCAATGGAAGAAAACATTGCAATCCCTGAGAAACTTCTTATTTTTATTTGGCAGAAACCAAATAACTTAAGACTATTTTTTTCTTTTCTGTGGTTACAGGGAGCTCAGAGACAAATATGCAGCCCCCACGTTTGTTATGACTTTGTAGAATGGGTGATGTGGCCCAATTTTTGCCTTGCCTTATTCTGATTTTCTACTTTTATTTTGCCTTCCTCACAATTCCCTCTAATTTCCACTTTTATCCTGTTTTGGTCATATCAGAAGAAAAAAAGGAAGACAAAATCTACACAGTACTTAAAAATTTAAAAATAATATATATTTTGGACTACGACTCCAATAGAGCCCAGTCCTTCAGGGGCCCTACCCTGCAATCGCCAGTGAGTTCAAGCTCTGAATCTTCCTAATTTCCTGTGTGTCCACAATCTAGTGGAAAACGATGTTTGTCTTTCCTTGAATAAAAAGCAAAATCTCAGTGTGGCCATAGAAGAATCCTCAAGAAGGCAAATCCTAGCTGAGGGGAAAAGGGTGGCATTTCTGACTTTATGCTCAGATTATGGCCAACCCGAAGACAGAGAAATTACAACCAAGCTCAGAGGAATGTGAAATTCTGGTTTCCACTGGGCATTCGGTCTTGTTCATTTGCAAGTACGATTCCTGCCTCGGGTTCAGTCAGATTCTCTAACGTCTCCCTCAGGCAGTCCATTCAGAAGTCTAAACGCTAACAAATGAGCCATGTATTTGATTATCTCCTGCACTAGGGAGGGTGCTCCTTAAAAAAGGGGGGGCTGTACTGGGCTTGGTGGCTCACGCCTGTAATCCCAGCACTTTGGGAGGCCGAGGTGGGGGGATCACTTGAGGTCAGGAGTTCGAGACCAGCCTGGCCAACATAGTGAAACCCCATCTCTACTAAAAACACAAAATTAGCCAGGCAGGGTGGCAGAAGCCTATAATCTCAGCTACTCAGGAGGCTGAGGCAGAAAAATCCCTTGAGCTTGGGAGGCGGAGGTTGTAGTGAGCCGAGATCACACCACTGCAATCCAGCCTGGGTGACAAAGTGATACTCTGTCTCAAAAAAAAGAAAAAAAGAGGGGCCATTGCCTAGCAGAGCACCTGAGGCATAGCCAATCACCGCAGGTGTCTGCAGTGAGGATGATCTTGTGGTTCACCTGTGAGATTTCTCCATACAATGCCTTCCATGTTCTGATTACAATGCTCCTTTACCATATATTAAGATGCATCTGATCCTTCTTCCCACTGGGCAATCTGGGTAGCATAAATGGCTAAGGCATTTGAGGTTAGACTGGTTGCTAAGAGGTTTGAGTGTGTTTAGCCATTAAGGACAAAGGTTAATGAAGAAGCCAATTAGATCATTAAGGCTTTGATAATGGCATTAACCCTGTTTGAAGGCTCTTAAGACATTTACTTATAATCTGCTTGGCCACAATGTGTGTCCATAGTTAATGGTTGGGCTAGGGCAATATAAAAAATGGGGCATGAGTCAGGAGGACCAGTGTAGCTTGCTCCTCATTACAACATGGTCCTTTAAAATTTTCCAGCCAAACAGAGTAAGCGGTGGCCTTCTCGAAGGGCAAAAGGACCTACTCCAAATGGGCAAACACCATGGCCAAATTCAAGTGCACACCATTACCCAGCACATAAATAACTCACAGCAACAGGTCAGCCAAGGAGCTGCCCACAGGTTTCCAGCCTTCTGGTGGCCCCAGGGAAGTAAGTAACTGCCTTCCATCACTTCTCCATTAGAATTTTTTCAACGAAATCCCCTTAGATTCAATATCCCAAAACAAAGCTTGTGGCTTTTCCTTTCCAAATGTATCCTCAAGCATCCATTCAGAAACCAGACCTAGGAGCCGCTCTTGACTCTCTCCCACCCTCACCTCCATGTAGATTCCTTCGCCAAGTTCTGTGGATTCCATCTGGTCAATATTTTTCTAGTCTCATCCCATCGAGTGTCTGCCGTCCTCTGGGACACTTGCTCCATGTCAACATTGTCTCTTGCCTGGACTAGTGCAGTAGCCTGCAAATTCGGAGGACTGCCTCCCCCACCCACACCCACTCTGCTCTTCCCTTGCCCATTCCATTCTTTCAAAACGCCACGTCCCATGGTAATTACGACATACCCTTCCCCCACCCCAGGCTTAACATGCTTGGTGCAATACTGAAACATACTTAACGCTGCAAAAAAATTACTCTTTGCTATCTGAAATTCAAACGTCACTGGCAGTCTCATATTCTACCTGGAAACTCAAGTTGCTAAGCTTAGGCCCTCTCTATGGCCTCCAAGGCTCCTTCCACTCTGCTCAGAGGAGTCCTTGGGCCTAAAACTGCCCAGGTCCGCATAAGTATCAGAAAATCCCTGATTACAGCTGCAGTTCCAGTAACCAACCACCCAACCCTTCCCATGACCTTTCGGTACCAGAATTTGCTCTGAGACATGGTGGCTTACAAAATGAAAAGGATCCCATTTCAGGAGTAAATTTAAACAAAGGATGCTTAGTTCTGAACTTTTGCATTTAACTCGACTGCCCTCTTGTGGAAATAGCTGTGAATTGTGCCTCAACCTGAACGTGGCACCCGCCAGGGTCTGGGATGCATTCACCAATTCCTTGAGCACTGATGGCAGACCTGCTGTGTGCAAGGCTCTGTGCCATGCACTACAGGGGAACAGAGATGAGCTACGTTTATGGGATACTAAAAGGAGCCAGACAGTTCTAGCACCTACTATGTTTACTAAGATGAGTTCCTTAACTCACCTGATGTTCCTTAATGTTTCAGTAATCATTGGTATAGTAATGACTGTAATTATCTAATTATTTCTGTAAGTATTCAGGTAGGTTAAAGGATATAAAATTCCCTGTATATAGCAAGCACTCAGGTGATCTTGAACTGAGAACACATTGGTATGCAGCAAAGAACATTCAATAAAATTGGCTATTTGAGATTTATAGATGCCCACAGGTAGGCCAGGCCCGGAAGGGAAAAATCTAAGCTACGTTTGCTGAAGCTGGCTGATGCCTAGGAATGCCCTGCAGAAGTATAGTAATTTATAGTGTTGTAAATTCGCACCCGTGGCTTCATAGACGAGGCCTCATCAAATCTTCACTACGAGGTAATGAGCAAGGCATTGTCCTCCATTTGATGGATGGGAACACTGAAGCTCAGCGAGAGTAAATGGCCAGGCCACTGTTCTAAACAGTGGCAGAGGCAGAAGGCAGGTCACAAAGGCAAATGCTACAGGACCAGGCAGGATGGGGAAGTCAGGGGTGTGGCACCAGAGCACGGAGGGACCTGGAGCACAGAAGGGTGGGTCCTTGGTCTAAAAAGAGCAGCAAAGCCAGTGTCTTGAGGCCACCAGTGAATGCACGTGTGCAGTCTCCTACCTTGTTCTTTACAATCGGGAATTCAGAATTGTGTGTTTTAGGTTGAACATATAAAACTGCTCATGTTCAACTATTTTTTAACCTACAAAACTGGAAATTTCATGGGGTGTAACCTAATTGAAGTTTCCAGTTTTAAAAATATGATGCAGTTCAAACAAATTCTGTCTATGGGACAGTTCTGCACCCAGGCTGCTCGTCTGAGCTGCCTCCTGGCACAGCCCATGAGAATTTCCTTCCTCACACACAGAAAGAAACTGGTTGTTTTGGAAGCCAGCCACACAGAGGCTCAAGTTCTCCAAGAGAATTCATATCAGCATTTGCAGACAATTATTCACATTTCTTTTTAACTCCAAATGGTTCAGTTACATCTGAGGACTGTGTGAACGCTTTTACAATAAACAAGGGGCCACCTTGGATAACCAGAAGCTGCCTGGTTATTTGGGTCAAGATCTAGAGTGCATCTCTCTGTTTATATTCACTACTAACATTTTAAAAGTTATTTGTAAATGCACAGATACACACAGTTTACAAGAGTTCACAAACATGATGATATCCGTGCTGTTGGAAGTGCTGCCTTTTCTCCTTTTCTACAGATCCCCTTCCTGCCTACTCCTTCTTCTGCAGAGCGGTCCTGCCCCGAAGCAGCCCAGGATAACCATGCACTGCATGCGCCTACCTCCTACCCTCTGTGCCCACATAGTCCTATGCAGAGATCTGCTTAATAGTATAGTCATATAAGCATGTGTAAAGGATCTTTTTGCTCATCTGTTCTTTAAAAATTAAAGCATATTACATTTTATTATCTGTGCTTTGTATCTTGTATTGTATTATTATAATATACTGTGGCAGCGTCTCCAGGTCAAATGTTCTAGCAGCTCTAATGCAGTCTTTTTAATGGCTGCATAAATATTTATGGCAGATTCACACTGATTCAGCCAACCACCTTTTGATGATCACTTTGTTCCCAGTTTCCTGCTATAATGAAAAACGATGCAGTAGGCACCCTAGTCCACATGTCTTCACATTCTGATGTTTTACATTTCATTGGCCAGAGGGCACATATATTTTTCATTAAATACCAGTTGCCAGTTTGCCTTGATAAAAACCCTGTGGCACTTCAGACGCCCAGCACATCTCATGAGAATAAAGCAGCTCTTAACTCTTTACCACGCGGCATGTATGACACATGGAAGCCCCCAGCTCAAGGTGAGGGTGTGCTTGGGCAGGTAACGGGCCAGTGACAGGCACAGCACGGAAGTCGGCTCCCCTTACCTGTTGTAGTTGTGGACCAAATCAAAAATCATCATGTCTGTGGTGTTGACAAATTTGCACTGGACAGGCATAAACTCTCCCTCTGCAGAACATTGGGGTGGTGACTTGTCCCCCACCCCGTGGAGAAGACGACGATTTCTTATTTCACAGCTCCTTGGACCTAAACATTTTCATAAAGAAAAATTACAATCTTATGTATAAGTAGACACACGTTTCTACAGTCGAGCAGCGTATACAGTCATGTGTCCCTTAGCAATGGGGATGCGCTCTGAGAAACCATCATTTGGCGGTTTCATTTTTATGTGAGCATCATAGAGTTGCACTTAATGCAAACCTAGATGGTTTGCCCACGGCACACCTGGGCTGTACGAGCTAGCCTGTTGCTTATAGGCTACAAACCTGTATAGTGTGTTATTGTAATGGATACTACAGGCAACTGTAAGACAATGGTGAGTATTTGTGTATTTAAAACATACCTGAGCATACAAATGGTACGGTAAAAATACAGTATAAAAGAATAGGCAGGGCGCGGTAGCTCACGCCTGTAATCCTAGCACTTTGGGAGGCTGAGGTGGGTGGATCATGAGATCAAGAGATTGAGACCATCCTGGCCAACATGGTGAAACACTGTCTCTACTAAAAATACAAAAAAAAATTCACTGGGCATGGTGGCTTGTGCCTGTAGTCCCAGCTACTCAGGAGGTGGAGGCAGGAGAATCACTTGAACCCAGTAGGCAGAGGTTGCAGTGAGCCAAGATTGTGCCATTGCACTCCAGCCTGGTGACAGTGTGAGACTCCATC